TAGTTGATCCCTTTCGCCTCATGCCATCAACTCTACATGCATGATTCGACAGTAACAACAAAACCTACAGTCTCCAACTTCTCAGTGTCAGCTTAAAATTGTCGCACTATACCTTACGCCTTCGTGTATTGAAATTTCGATACATTTGTAACACCGGTGCTATTTTCATCGACCCCAGAAACAAGTCTCACGGTCCCATCGATGTGTTCGAAACAAGCCGATGTCTTGATCTTATATTCGCAGGATGTACGTACACCTTGAAGAATTTTACTAACGACTAAATTTTACATCCTTACCGAGAAAGTGCAAATATGGCGCGAAGCTGCAGTAGTCCAAATCGCGTGCAAACCGAACGACAGCCACCATCTTATCCCATCAGACAGTTTCGCTGCTTTTCATTGCCCCATCCTACCAGATATAGAGCACGAAGTAGCCTCCTATCGCTTGGGGTGTCTATGCTTCGATTTTTCCATGGAGCAAAGATCACCGTCGAGTCTTCTCGGAGATGCGCGAGAAGGGACACGGACTGTGCCATGAGGGCTAGCATCTGAAGACTCACTACCCACAGCGGCTCACGGCAACCATCTTGGCACGCTGACCCAATGATCCTCCGTATTGTTTTCAGCCTCGCGGTAGTCATGCCAAGACTCGATGTTTGTTGTTCTGCCCATTGTTACAACGCCTCGCAACTCTCTAAAATACCTGAACACGAATTGCTTCACTTTCAAAGGTTAAAAACGTAGCAAGTCTTCCTACCGTACGAGACAACCGATCCTGTCAGCTCGCCTGGGGAAGCGGCATGATTCATAGTGCGACGATCCCTGGCAAGCTAAGATTTCGGAACTACACATCCTGGAGAAATCCGCACAACTCAGCCAGCTCTATTTAGAGCTAAAAGAAATTAGTAGAGAATAAAGCATTTATACGCGAGATGCGGGTTGCCAATCACGTGCCTTTCCTCCTGCGCCTTTCTGAGTCATCCGTCACGGAAGTATGGAGTCCTTCGAAGTAGTCGCAGGACGCATTGTTGGGCATCGAGATCTTCATGGCTGACTGCCAAGCCCTGACTCGCTTAGACAGCATTGGTCTAGGTCCTCAGCTGTTCCTGTAATAGTGCTTGGTCCAAAATTCAGTCTAAAACTGCTCTAGCGAATCACAAACTGTACGGAGGACAGCACCGGCGGCCCCACGGGGTAGAACAAAGAGTCCTGCGACAGACGGCTTAATTTATGAATTCGAATGCTTCTAATGCATGTGTGGCGCCATAATGACGGTCCAATGTCTTTTAGAGCGAGACCCTGCCGTCACTAAAGAGCCGATACTTTCTGTCGGTGTCGCGAAATGCACCGTTACGCACCACAACCTGAAGTTCGGCACGACCACGTTTTGTATTCGAGGTGAACTCTTCGAGACTGCTGCTAGACGTGACTGAGCAACTACAAGCCACATACAACACTCGTGCCTTCTCGCTTCGATCTAGTTGAGCCAGGTCGTGTATGGGGTATCCTTGCGCCACTCAATCTTCGCTTCCTTTCGTGTCTGAAGATCACCTATTCGAGACTTGCATCCTTCCGCCTCACCCTGTACATTCGCGAACCTGCAGGATCATTACAGACTCCTTTCTTTCGGCGGCTTCTCCATTTTTGATCTCCGCGCAGCGCACTATGAACCGTTCGCGCTCCACGAGTTCTTCTCTCTTCGCCTGAATTTCTTGTTATCGACGGGACTCTCAGACCGGTGCGCCAGACGCACCATGGCCTTTGGCAATTCAGATCCAGAGAAAAACTTCCCGCCGCCCAATTTTGTGAATCCGACAACTCGTGTCCCCGTCGTGCTCGGATTAACGATCTCGACCTGCATTCTCGTACTCATATTGACCGGCGGACGGTTGTATGCGCGAGCACATATCAAAGCCGCTCTTGGGATCGATGACTGGATGATCCTTGTCGCCGCTATCTTTGCCATTTCACTTACGATATTGGGGGACGTATCGTGTCTTTATGGTCTGGGATACCATCTTCAAGACAGAAGACCAGAATGGACAGAACCGTACTACAAGGTACGCAAAACTTACACAACAAAGACTTCCGACTAACGATATGAGCTAGATCGGCTTCGCCATCCAAATCGTCTACCCCATCTGCGTCGGGCTAACCAAAATGTCCGTCTGCCAAACATACCTTCGCATTTTCCCCTCAGAAACATCGCGCAAATTTTCGCACTCCATGACCGCCTTCGTCGCCGCCTACACCGTTACCTGCCTCATCCTCATGTTTTCGCAATGCCACCCGCTCAAGGGCTACTGGGACGAAGATGTCGAAATCAAGTGCGTCGACATGCACGCTAACATGATCGCTATCGGCGCCATCAACACGATTACCGACTTCCTCGTGTACCTCTGGCCCGCGCGCTATCTCTGGCGCATCCAGCTCCCGCTCAAGCAGCGCATCGGCCTCGTCTTCGTTTTCACGTGTGGTCTAGTCGTCTGCGTCGCAGGCGTCTTCCGGATGGTCTACTTGAATCGTTACTTTACGAACATCGATCTCTTCTGGGATGCTGCGCTCACTACATCCCTCGCCATTGTCGAGACCAACATCGGCATAGTGTGCGGCTGCCTCCCCTGCGTCAAACCTGTCCTTCGAAAATTCATGCCTTCACTATTTAGCACAAGTGGACGTACGTCGAAAACGACACATACAGGGCCCACAATAGGAGAATCGTATCGATTCCGGGATATGTCTGCGCATGCGGATAAGGGTGGCTCTACGTCTGCGCTAAGGGAGGAGAGATTGGAAGATGTCACTGAGTTGAGCGATGGGATGAGTACGCATTCATCAATGAAGGCAGTGTTGGGGTATGAAGGGGGGGAGGGTGGAGGCGGGGAGTCGGGATCGAAGCCAGCTGCCTGAGAGGAATTGTAGTGGATCAGACTGTCAGTGTGGAAAGGAGTTATAATAAAGTGGCATAAATGATGAATACGAATTTTCTACTGTTGCAATATTACACATCGGTGTGAGTATGAAAAGGAGCACACGTCCATTGTAGAACTGAGTTGCTTTCGTACTTGCCCTTTTTCTTTTGAGATACGCACGATTGGAAAGAATATATATACAGCACTAAGATATACACTGGAACTGCGGTGCTTCAGCTGCAGCTTCCCCGCGCAAAGGATGCACGCTAACCTCTCTAAGATAGATGTGCATCGCCGAGGTTACTCGAGGGAGCTTACTCGATGCACCCACACCATAATCACAGCTTCGCGATGTGATATAGATCCTATTCAAGTCCGTAGCAAATCAACATATAGCGGATGCGCGCCCGAGATGGCCACAAAACCAAAAACGCGGCACGACCTCGACGATACCGCCCTGGGGCAATACCTTCAAAACCACCTCCCAGACCTCAAACTTCCCATTATATCAACAAAGATTGGCTACGGGCAGAGCAACCCTACCTATTTTGTCGACGACGCAATTAAAACGCGCTACATACTGCGGAAGAAACCTTCGGGGACGATCATCTCACCTGTAGCGCATCAGGTAGATCGCGAGTACCGCGTTATCAAAGCACTGGGAAGCGTAGAAGGATTTCCAGTACCCAGGGTGTATTGCTTGTGTATGGACGATGGAGTCATTGGGACAGCATTTTATGTGAGTTCATATTCCAATCTTAAGACGTACCTTAAACCCATCCCTCCATCCCTGTCTAGCAATTCCAATGTCTTGGGTCAGTACCCTCCAACTGTGATATGTTGCTCTTCCTCTGTTATACCTTAGGGACTTCTTTTTACACGCCCTTTAAGTCACAAAGCACGAGAGGAACCGCCGCTACTCTATCGTTTATTATTCTTCGCAGCTACCCACATCTTCCACCACAAATCTAGTATAGTGATACTCTGGGTAAAGTAAGTCTCTAACGTACACAGGTAATGGAATACGTCAAAGGCCGCATTATAACCTCCCCAGACCTCGATTCGCTCTCCCCAACCGACCGCCGCGCCGCCTGGTTCTCCGTCATCCAGACACTAGCCTGGCTGCACTCCATCGACGCCGACGCCATCGGCCTCTCCTCCTTTGGCAAGAAGACCAATTTCTACGCCCGCCACTGCACCACCTTCTCCCGTATCGAAGCCCAGCAGTCCAAAGTCAAGAACATCACGACAGGACAAGCCCTTGGCCGCGCACACCCCTCTTTTGACGAGGTCATCGCTTATATTCGAACTAACCTCCCTTCGGATCGCTCTTCTATCATTCACGGCGACTACAAGTTCGATAATATCGTTTTGCATCCTACGGAGCCGCGTGTCATTGCGATTCTAGACTGGGAGCTGAGTACGATTGGGCATCCGCTAATGGACGTGGTGTATGTTACAGGGCCGTATTGGAATAGGGTTAGTAGAGTAGGTATGGGGCCAGGAAAGGCGAGAGACGATCAGGGCCGGGAGGTGTACGATGATGGAAAGAGAAAGGAGAGTGGGATGCCGGAGATGAAAGAGCTATTGGATGAGTACGCGAAGATTGTGGGATGGGATCCGAGAGGTGATCGGTGGGAAGTTGCGAAAGTGTTCCATCTAATGAGGGTACGTGTCGTGGTTCTTACGAGGTCGAGGTGTGAGCTGGAGCAGCGAATAAGGTACAGTCAAATGTGCAAGACTAATCATTCTATAGGGCGGGACTATCAGTCATGGCATCCAAGCACGAACCATCAGCGGACAAGCAAGCAGCGAATTCTCGCACGTCTACTTTGAGAATACGCGAAGAAGTCTTGACGGTGCTCTAAGAATGGTGCGGGAGCTAAAAGAAAAACAGAACTCGAAGAGCACATTGTAAAACACCCAGCAAAAATAGAAGTCCGATAGAGATACTTATCGGCTACAATGAGCCAGCGTGCTAGGCAGTAAGGTCCAACCTAGCTTTTTGTACGCCAAATGGATGTTTCGCCATATATAGATGCCTAAGGAAAAAGAAGTGGAGAAGACAACAAAAAGAACAACCTTACGCGGCGTGATGGCGGAGTGGTTATCGCGCAAGACTAGAAATCTTGTTCCATCGGGAGGTACGTACCCTATTGGAAAGCCCCAAGCCTGCATCCCCCCTGACCTTTCTCTAGCGTCAGTTCAAATCTGGCTCACGTCGAGTGTTGTCCCGAGCTATTCATCCTTTTCTTTTTGTTTTTTCTAGCCCGATCCCTGCGTCAGTGTCGGCTTCTGTGCGGTGGTGGAGTGCGAGTGGGCCTTGCAAGCGATAGTGGGGCTTCGCATACACCGAGTATCAATCACTTACGTTAACTTGCATCATTTGTTTTTTAGAAAATAAGTAGACTAATACAAATCTTAATGCTGTTAGTAAGAGCTATGGACTATACCGCCTGCGCCTAGTCCAAGTTTACCACAGTAACAACACGCAAAAACACCACCCTGAACTCACCTATGCTCGAATTATCCCTAAACCAATTCTACGTCCACTCCAAAGGAACACTGATGACAGTATTTCCACTAGACCCAATCGACCCCTCCGGCGAATCAAATACAAAGTCCATCAAAATATCATACTTCCCATCCGGCTGCTGCCAAACGATCCTGTCCGTATTCCTCGGCCGCGCAGTACCAACAAGGTCATGCTTCCCCACATCACTCGTATACACAGGGAGGAATTGATGCTGTATTAATTGTCAACAACACACATTTCCAAATGATCCTGCAATGGCGTTAGAGGGCTACTCACGATCCAATCATCCCCATGATTAAAGCTCGGCAAAATCATGCCCTGGCTTCTCTCTGGCAGGTCGACATTGCTCTTGATGTTGATCCGGTCAACGACTAGACCTGTGGTAGCAGAGTGCACGTCGAACTTCCACGTTGCGCGGCATTCGGTGTACGGCCAGGTGGGCCCAGTGAGCTGCGAGGATAGGGTCAGGTCCATGTACGAGAGGTCTGGGCGGATTGAGATGGCGGCCTTGATGCCTGCGCAGTTCCACGAGAAGCCTGTGATGGTGGTTGAGGAGGGCTTGGTTGCTGGTACTGGGGTAGGGGCGGCGAGAGCGAGGGGAGCCAGGAGGGCAAGGAGGAGGGAAGGGCGGCGCAGGCCCATGGTCAAGTGGAGCGTGAGCGTGGGGGCTCGAATTAGTTCGGGTGTGCGTTGAATGAGTATTAAGAGGAATATCTACAGTTTTTATACATCACTGCGTGTCTGGTAGACGACCGATGCCGAGGTAGCTGCTGTGTTTATAATTATCCACATAGTGAGCAAAAGAAACATGTCTCTTTATTATCACAGCACTAGAGTTCATCAATCATTTCTCCACCTGACTATTCGCGAGAACGATAGAGATGGCATATGTCAAAGTTGCTTGTGCGTCTTCCGAACCTACCTAGAGGGGTAAATGCCCAGCTGCAGAAGTCTTGTTCTACACGGGACTAGTCTGGACATGGTAAACGGTATGATTTAGCCTAGGCGGGAAGGGGGCATGATACTTGTCGGCTGAGAATATGCGCGCAGTAATTTTTGATCGATACCTCAATTGAGCTGCATGTAGTATTTGTGGTGTAGTGGGTATATAGTATAGTGAATGCTGGTTTTGCTGAGAATGGTATCACCTGTCAACTCTCATGGCACCTGCCTGTTCGCCTTCTTGCTTGAATTTATTTCGTCGTCCACGGCAATCCGAGCTTCTTCATCTCGACGGCAAGCTGGAGGATGTAGTCGATACTCTCACATTGCGTCTTCGCTTTGTGCACGTTGTCCCCCCATACATATCTACTTCCATTAGCACAATTTCAATCCCATGGCACATACGTAGCACTCACATGCCATGCCGCCGAACAAGTACGGCATACGTATCAGGATACTTCTCCATGGCTGCTTCTAAACTCTCGGTGAGATCTTCCTCACTACTTCTTGTCAGCTTACATTCCCTAGTTCTACCTTCCTCAGGGGTATGCACTCACTGCGCAGTATTCTCAATGATGGGAATCCTCAATCTCTCAAAGTAGCCCAGATTGCCAATCTTCCCCCTTCCCTTCGGAATTCCCTTGATCTGCTCGATTTCCTCGATCTCGAAGCATGCCTCCTTGCCGAACTCTCTCTCGACGAGCAGGGTGATGAGGACGGCCCACTGCGAGTGCGTGTGGATGCAGCAGCCGGCGCCGCGCGTGAAGGCCGCGTAGAAGAGGGGTGTGCAGGCAGACGGCTTGTGGACCTGTTACAAGGTAAGGGACATGGTGGGTGAGAAGCAAGGATACCAGGAGGGACGCAACGTACCTGCGGCCGCCGTATATATTCCTTGCTCTCAAAGTCCATGACGAACATGTCTTTCGGCTTCATAAGCTCCTTCTGCACGCCGCTGGGCGTGATGTATATTTTGTCGCCATGACGAATGCTCGTGCCGCCGCCGGTACCAGTGACCTAGTCCGATATTCTCATCAGTCCCTTTATCTTGCTCAATTGCCTATGCGATAGCAGTGGAGAGGTATCTGCGTACCCAACCCAGGTTGTAGAATTTCGCGCAGAGGGTGCAGATGTGGTTTGCGGGATGCTCAGGATCATCCGAGCGCACGAGCGCGTCGGCTTCTGCTTGGGAGGTGCTCATCGTGAGTATTCGTGGTGTTTGGAGGCTTGAATGTTTATTGGGAGACATTTTTCACGAGGGAATGACGCGATGCCCCACCAACCCCACGTGTAGCGGGGCACGCGCTGCGATTCATCCCCGCAGTGCAAGGCGATGCACGTTCACTTATTAGACTACTGGAAAATAGATAAATCATTTGAAGCTCAAACATGAATTATCAGACTACACAATTGCCTACTTAAAGCTAGGTATCAACGTCAACATCATTTCTCACATGCGCCCATCGTGCTTCCCATTGATTACGACTATGCCTCCCGGCCGCCGTAGGGTATCTCAAAGTGTTGACTCGCGCCTATTCCCCAGTCTTAGTCTCATTGCTGAGAGGAGATGACTCTTTCTTGTCCTTGTCGAGGTGGAGCGCATGCTTGATCTTGTCGATCGGACCCTTCCTGTCCGGAGAATGGCTATGGCCGCCATACTTCTCCTTGTGAACATTACCTTCACCGCCGCGCTGTCCTGTATCAGCTCTGCTGCCAGTGTATAATGACATGTTTAGGTGTTCGTACGCCGGTGTGGAAATTCTCTTGCGGCTTGCGCAATGCGTCCTCGGGGATGTAATCGGAGGAGTGACGCGGGCTGCCGTCCGCAGGTCGGATTAGAGGCGACTTGGTGATGTTGCCTGCGCCGCCGCGCTGAGTGCAAGTTAGGTATGATCTCGTTCGAAGTAGGACACGTGAAGACGCACGCCGGTCGAGAAGTCGCCGTCGCCTTGGCCTTGAAGGCCTTCGCGGACGATGGCACCGTCGGTGTAGCTGGGAGAACGTCAGTGGCTGATGCGAATTCGTCGATAGGCTCCTCGAAGCATGAAAACGCGTACATGGTAGGATCATGGCCGATGTTGCCAGCGCCTACAACCTTGGTCAGCCCCCCATCTATTGAACTAGACCCGAGCGCGACTCACCACCGCGACCAGTAGAGTGGAGTGGAGTATCAGACATGATGCTCTGTTCTGTCGGAAATTTGCGCAAAAAGCAAGGTTAAAGCGAGTTCAGGGATCAGTGGTATGCAGAGGCGATGGGGAAAGGGTAGGCTGGACAGCATGCAGCGCACGTCTTATATTTGCTCTTTCAACCGCCTCCATGGCACCACGGCAACAGCCAATCTTCATATGACGCAAACCCATTGGCGCGGGATGCGCAAGGCACATGAGAAGTGCGGTACACGATGGGTCCGTTCAATCAATGAGCGCGTCGGGCGCACGTCTAGCTTGCCGTATTATCGCGGAAAAGATAGGTTCATCCGCAGCGTAGGCTTGCTGCCAAGCCGCTCCGCTCATACATCATAGCTGCGAACTGGGAACCGGCCGTGGTGCTGTGTCGTTCGCGTGGGATCGTTACCTGTAGACGTGAGGTGATCAATTCAAGGGTCAGCGGCTCTGATAAGGTCGGCGCGCGTGATTCGTTGAAATGGGTGACTAATCGATCGATAGGCGAGAGTACATTCTGAGCGCGAGGAGGCTTCTTGCATGCGCCAGCCCAAGCTTGAAATTGTGAAAGGCAAGGCGAGTATGTAAGCAATATATGTGCTGCTGGAAATCGCATCGCTGAGCATGTTCGACGAGGCGGGATATTGTCTGAGTGGAATTTCGATGCGACCATCCGAACTAACCTATATCGCCCTATTTACATGGACATACATCTTCAAACTTTAGCAAGAGTATTCTGTTGCACTAACGTTAAACACTGGAACTGAAAAGCCCGCTCCTGTCGCCAAGTTGGTCCTCTTTCGAACCACCACCTTGGAGAATGCGATCGGCATGGCTGACTGCCGAAAGCACTTAGGTGCTCTTCGCTGCAACCTTCTCTTCTTGCGGCGACGCACCACCAGTGGTTGGCAGACCCATGAAGATCTTGAAGTAATCGTAGATCATCCACTGCAGACCAGTGAGAGTTCCGATCATCACGATACGCACCGGAAGCCCGTTCCAGAGCCCTCTGAAACCGATATCCTTGTAAATGCGGCCCGTCGCAGCTCCGAAGCTCTCGCCCGCCTGACGGTTGGCATTGAGCTTCGAAACCATGACATCCGCGGGATGGCTGACAATGGCACACAAAATACCGGCGAGGTAACCACCCGTGAAGGATACAGCAGTCTGTGCGCCCTTCCCGTAGTCACTCTTGCTGCCAGGAAGATAATTATAGATCATCTCGACGATGGTTTCAAACGAGGCGAACTGCGAGACATGAGCATCTCAATATGAAACCTCACATGATTGCCTACCTTCATCATGGTGTACGGAATCTGGCGGCCCCATAGCGGATACAGGCCCTTGTACAATCTGAGATGTGTTAAGTCGAAACGCTTTGAATAAGCTCTTCGAAGCTTTCTATTACTCACCCTGCGACACCTTCTTTCCCGGTAATAGTGCTTAATCCACCGAGGGTTGTCTTCGCGAAAGGTGGGATGGTAGTCTGCATCCGCACCTTGATTGCTTCGAACGGGCAGAGGCCAATATCGGCGATAAATTCAGCCGAAGCGCTTCCCGCCAGGTAGATGAGCGTTTTGTACT